AAACTGTGGGTGACAGTCTCTGGTGGTTGGTTAACTTCTGGACTTTAGTTGTGTTCACTGCTGTAAAACTGTTTGGTGACAGTCTCTGATTGTTTGTCCACTTCTGGACTTTAGTTTTGTTCACTGGCTGTAAACTGTGGTGACAGTCTCTGGTTGTTTGTCCACTTCTGGACTTTAGTTTTGTTCACTGGCTGTAAACTGTGGTGACAATCTCTGATTGTTTGTCCACTTCTGGACTTTAGGTGTGTTCACTGGCTGTAAACTGTGGTGACAATCTCTGATTGTTTGTCCACTTCTGGACTTTAGTTGTGTTCCAGAACTTGAGTTTTGCGTGGACATCCGGTTTTCAGATCTGACTTATTTGCATGCAAACTGTTGGTACCTTGCCTCTCAGGCAGATGTGCTCCAACTTCAAATGAAGCTCACCTAATTAGTTGACTCCTACAAACATACTTCTTAGTGAGACAGTGGACCTACACCCATCCACCCTCCCCCGCAATGGGGCCAAAGGAATTGAAGATTGATCTGAAGTATTTCAACTGACTCCTTGCATCATATATTGTCAGACAGTTGGAGGAACAGAGCCTTATGATAAATATGTTGGGAAATAGAAGATCAGCTGTGTTGAGGGTCTTGTTAGAATGCGGTCACCTAAACATGTTCCCCGTGGTGAATGAATCCAGAATTGACGACACTGCACTGAGGACATTTCCACATCAGACCTGTCTCCTTCCTCAACAGCCAAGAATGAACATGTCAGTAGCGACCTGATTAAAAGCCCGCCTATGTCTCCCCTTCAATGTTGAATATCTTCAACATAAGCTAACCCAATGGCAGAGCACTAAACTCACTGTTGTGTGATGAATGGCAGATGGTGACTGAGTGTTTTAGTGTTTTATCCTCTTCACATTCACCACTTGTTAGTTGTCCTTTACGACATGCTTGTTTGGGAGGGAGGGGGGGAACTATTCTTTTTCCCCCCACCCTTTGGCCCTGGAACCCACATGGAGAGAATTCTTTATAAGAACTCTTATCTAATGGTATACACATCAAAGACATGATCACAAAATAAGATATAGATGGTTTGGGTGTCCCTGACACTAACACAATTGCATGACATGGGAGTAAAGCATGGTGAAGCACATCTATGCTGTCTTCGAAGCCGAGATAGGAGACAGTATAACCAGCTTCTCATGGGAACAATTAGTAGAAGTACATTGAAGTGGCTGCTGCATGGGAGGACTGAACACACATGGGAATGCCCATTGTGCAGTGATGTTGATTGTAATAACTTAACATAACATTGGGTTTAATTGTTTTTGTTTTGCTTTTAGTTTCAGTGAAATACCACCTGTTCTTCTATGTATTCACATCTCTAGTTCCATTTTCTAATTACTTACTTATCGTCCAACTTTCCACACCATATCCTCTACTTTCTTATTCCTCTTTTGTCGTCTTACTGATACCAGGTTGTAGCCCAGTGTTGTGGTCTTCTGTATTTGTCTTGCACTTCTCTGGTGGCTTGAGTGATGGATATGTTCTCTTTTTTTCAGGTTTCAGCTGCACCATTTATCCCTGTTTCTTGGTCTTCCTTTCACCTTCCTCCCAGATGTTCTGCTGTAAACAGTCGCATTTGCAGTTTGTCCTGGCTGCATTCTCACTAGATGATCGAACCATTTCATTCTTTGTCTGTCAATAATAATCCAGACAAGGGCTTGTTCCAACTTTCTCTCCAGTGCTGGTATTTGTAACCCGTCTCTTCTTCTGCTGTTAAAGACCTTGCAGAGACCTGCACATTTCACATGTAGGTCTGTTCTGTTCTGATGCCTTATTGTAAAATCCTCTGCAGATGAGGTCCTCTGCTGCAGACCTGAAAACTGTGGAGAAGAAGGGTCTTCTATGGATATTGGATGAGGAGGCCATGTTTCCGGGGGCTACAGAGGATAGTTTCATGGAGAGGCTTCTACAGCAGCACTGTGAGCATCCAGTCAGAAGTGAGTAGCTGTAATGATACAGTTTGCCTAGATTATGTCAGAAGTGAGTAGCTGTAATGATACAGTTTGCCTAGATTATGTCAGAAGTGAGTAGCTGTAATGATACAGTTTGCCTAGATTATGTCAGAAGTGTGTAGCTGTAATGATTCAGTTTGCCTAGATTATGTCAGAAGTGAGTAGCTATAATGATACAGTTTGCCTAGATTATGTCAGAAGTGAGTCGCTGTAATGATACAGTTTGCCTAGATTATGTCAGAAGTGAGTAGCTATAATGATACAGTTTGCCTAGATTATGTCAGAAGTGAGTAGCTATAATGATACAGTTTGCCTAGATTATGTCAGAAGTGTGTAGCTGTAATGATTCAGTTTGCCTAGATTATGTCAGAAGTGAGTAGCTATAATGATACAGTTTGCCTAGATTATGTCAGAAGGGAGTAGCTATAATGATACAGTTTGCCTAGATTATGTCAGAAGTGAGTCGCTGTAATGATTCAGTTTGCCTAGATTATGTCAGAAACGGCACTTAACTCTGTTTAACCCTTAGGAATCCATCATACGTTCCTACCTAGAATTGCAGTAAGCATAAGATGCGCCGTAAATATGTTTTTCCTTACTACCCTTTGAGCCTCTAATGCTTAATCCCATGGGACTAAAGAGTTCAGAAGTCCAACGCCAGGAAAGAAAAAATTAGATATATATATACATACATATATATATATATATATATATATATATATATATATATATATATATATATATATATATATATATATATATATATATATATATATATATATATATATATATACACACATACATTATACGCCAAAGAAGAAGCGCATGGGCATTTACAGCACGCTCAGCGGGCAGAACAGTCAAAGAAGCCAACGGCGCCTTTTCCATGACAACCAGCAGCATGACGATGGAGGTGATGGCAGTGACGCAAGCGTTTGCCTGGCTTGAAACACAAAAATACACCCGCATATGTATACTCAGTGATTCAATGAGTATGATCCGGAGGGTTCAGGCAGGTCAGTGCGAAGACAATGGCTTGAATCAATTCAGAAGTCCACTGTGCGAGGAGTCACCTTTATTTTTGTTCCGGGACACGCAGGCGTCGATGGAAATGAAGAGCTGACAGGCTGGCTGGATCCGCTATCACTACCGACGGTCGGCCTATGGATCATGCTGATATTATCAATGCCCTCAGAGAAATGGGAAGGATAGAGGACTTTGGTGGCAGTGAATCCACATCACTCGCCAGAATGGCAGACTTGGGAATTAAGATCGGCACAGCAAAAAACGAGACGCACACCGGACACGTCAGAAGATTTGTTAATCATCATAGAACTGGTACTATTAGCCATCGGACGTTGGGATTTCATACTGAGGGGGAGGATCTGAGCACCTATGGACATGTCCGGAGTGCAATGATGATAACCCAACTAACTAACTAACTAACTAACTAACTACTAACTAACACATACATACATACATATATATATATATATATTTATATATGTGTGTGTGTGTGGTGTGTGTGTGTGTATATATATATATATATATATATATATATATAATATATATATATATATATATATATATATATATATATATATATATATATATATATATGTATGTATGTATATAAAAACACATGTGTATATATATATAAACGCATGTATATATATAAACGATTGGCACCTTTGACACCTTTCCATCTTTCCAGACGTTAGTGTTTTATTGCGCCCATGGCGATGGCGGGTGAGACTAGCAAAAAGTCATTCACAATTACAGCATGGGATTTCAGGATCTTTGTTGTCAACATTTGTGCTTAGTCTGTTTTTTCTCAGACACTCAACTCTCATCCTTTCTGCAATCATTTCTTTCTTCATGCTCACTCCCTTCCTGGTGTGCCCCCTCAACCCAACACGGTCCATGGCATTTTGCTTCCACGAGTCCACCTCATACTTATATAATTCATGTCCCGCTTGCACACATCTTTATATCACAGTAGAGGTTGGCTTTGACAACCCGTCTTTTATTCACCATAGAGGATATCTTTAGGGACTCTTCCATCCTTCATTCTCCAGGCGTGACCCAGCCACCTGAACCTTCATATACTGAGCAGTGAGAAAACTGTTGTAATACCTGTTCTTTCCAATACCTCAGTGTTTGTGATCTTGTCCTACCACTTAACTGACTATTCTTTACTACCCCCACCCCCACACATACATATAACATACATTTCACAAATACTTCAACTTTGGTGTAATCTTTATCCTGCCTGTTGCATTTGCTGTTCATGCATTGTGAATTTTCTTCAACCTACAGAAGACAGCCTTCTGCGAAAAGGTTCCCTTGGTCACACATTTGTCCTCAACCATAACCAGGGAATGACTCCAATACTGTACAACGCTCAAGGCTGGCTCAAGTGCTGCCGGGAAAATCCTATATCCAGGAATGCCAGTCTGGTGCTGCAGGATTCTAAAAAGTAAGTAGTCTCTATCAGTCAGTTAATCAGCAGATCCTTTCCCAATGTTGCTCTCTTCACAGCATGAAAGTCTCTCTTTCTCTAGCCAATTCTCCAGCCCTATGTGCTCTTATAGCCAATGCGTCTTCAGTGTCCTTATCTGCCTTCACTGAGGTCAGCCTCTGCCTCATTTACCAGCAACTGCATCCTCTACCACTGTTCTCACCTGACCACCATGGCACCTGACCACCATGGCACCTGACCACCATGGCACCTGACATGTCCAAAATACCTCAGCTTTTGTGAGAGGATGCTGTTTATGTGCCAGTTCTCCTTGATGGTCAGGTCCTGCAGAATGTTGACTTTTTTCTTCTTCTTGGTCTACTGTATTATAAAAAAATTCTGTAGCATTTCACTTAAAAGCTCTGATTGTCAGCTTTAAAATGTAAATGAGAATCCACGACTCGCATACAGGAAAGATGCATGCTCTCAACATTGTTTTTTTAACTGCTTGCAGGTGCTATGCCATAGGTTCTTCATGATATCTGGTGGTGACTGTTGGCTTTGGCACCTCTAGCAACTGCCATATGCATTTACTGCATGCTCGTAAATGTTCCGGGTCTAATTGTTTGTTCATCAGTTTTTCAAATGCGACAGTGAGGGGGCATTTCATTTGATTTTCACTGGCAAGGAACAGAGCAAGTATGGGAAACCCATGGGTAGTCTAGACAGGGGTTTTATAGTAAAAAAAAGTAAGTAAAGGACCCTTTTCCACACCTTTAGGCATATAGGGCTAGACCTATATTTTTATAGACCAATCAGCCAAGGTCATTTTTGAAAAAAGTCCTGCTCCGCCGGGAGAGTGAACCCATGGCCTTCAGGGATTTTATAAACTTTCTAAAAGTCAAGAGGATCAATGTCATTGCACTGAGTTTTATCCAATATGGTTCTGTCTTTCTATGCAGAATAGCTAGCCAGAGTGTTACACAAAGCAAAAACTGCATACCCCTCCGGCACGATCACAGGTATCATCTTAAAACACACCCATGGACTAAACTACACAATCTTTGAAACAAACCTACGACCTTCAGAGTACGAGTTTACTGTTAGTGAACATGAAAGACAGAATACGAAATCAGACAAATGCTAGGAATAAAGCCAGTCTTACCAGTCATCAAAGAACAACAAATGAAGTGGTTTGGACACCTAACAAGAAAGCCCTGGTACTATCTGCTACAGCAAGCCAACTAAAACATTACAACGGGTGTAGAACGAGTGGAAGACATAGGAAAAGATGGAGTAAAGGCATTAAGAACAGCCTTACAGAAATGAACATCAGTCTTTCTAGTGCTCTTGACAGAGCTCACTAACGAATGTTATATCTTCCTCCGACACTTGGCTGAGGTACAAGATGGAAGAAAAGAAGAAGAAGAAGAACATGAAAAAGAAGTCATCATTGCTATCTGGATACTCTTTGGTGAGACTGCTAGTTTTATTTTGACTTTCTTTAGCATAAAATTTTCTCCAAACCTCTGCCACAGATCCAGTATCTCTCAGCTGTTTAGCAGTGTCAAGGCGCAGAGCTCTGGGGCTGTCAGTGGGACTACTGTGGGTTCAGAAAGTTCTGCCTCTGTGCGCAGGGTCAACAGCATGCGAAGACCCTCCACCTCTGGGCAGGCAGGGCTCAAGAGGAAGTCAGTCTGCTTGCAGGTCAAGTTTAATGTGGTAAGTAGTGCTTTTTTTTTTTTATATGGTACTACAAGGTTTCACAATCCTTGAAGTACTGCAGTTTGGTCTTCTTCTTCTTCTTCACGTTCACCGGCTGTAAACTCAGGCAGAAAGTTCAGTGCAATATTTATAACGTACCCCATGACGTCACGGGAGACATTTAAATAATTTCCAGGGGCGTAAGGTTGGGGGGATTTTTCCCTTCTAGAGTGCATCGCAAAAGCGCGTGCTTGTTAGCGACTCTTATGACTTGTGTTTACCGCGCATTTGTCAGTGTCGAAAGTCCACCTGTCGTCTGGGCATACCCCTACGGCAAATTGCGGACCTCTTTCCGGCGACTATACCGACTAGATGGTTGGGTCTCACAATCAGCGGCTACCGCATCTCCTGCAGCTTCCTCTTTTTGATTTGCTTGTGAGTTATCGCTGTCGGTTAGACACACGACCATTTGTCCGTGTCGAAAGTCCGCCCTTTGTCTGGACATACCTATGCAGCAAATTGCGGACCTCTTTCCGGCGACTATACCGCCACCGCCAAGAGTATCCCATGCGTCGCGGCGTGCGGAGCGGGGCTAAACTAGATGGCTGGGACTCACGAGCGGCTAGCACATCTCCTGCAGCTTCCTCCTTTTTATTTACTCGTGAGTCCCAGCCATCTCGTTTAGCTCCGGGGGATACTCTCGGCAGTGGCGGTATAGTCGCCGGAAAGAGGTCCGCAATTTACATGTGACTGAGGCCCTGGCAAGGTATATTTTTGGCCTCGAAAATTTGGGACCGTCTTCAGAGGATTGCCAAAAATCAATTAACGTTTAATAATTAAAAAAAAATTAAAATTTAAAAAAAAATGTAAAAAGTCATGTAGGGATTGAACGCAGCACCTTTCATTTATAAGTCAGATGTATCACTGAAAATTGCGCATCAACAAGCAGCCGACTGCGCACCAACAGACAGATATATGCCACACCAAAATACACTAGAAGAGAAACGACAGCATCAGCACACTTGCATCCTTGATTTAGTGGACTGTCAAGTCAGCTGGGGAATTCCCACGAATTTTGGTATTTGGGGTACGTTATAAATATTGTACCGAAAGTTCTGGTTCTTCACCCACCTCCGGACTTCAGTCTTGTTCCAGAACCTGAGTGTTGCATGCACATCCATTTTACATATCTGACTTATTTGTATACAGATTGTTGGTTCCTTACTTCTCAGGCAGATGCACTTTGAACTATTTTTGTTTTCCCTACAATGAGGCGGCCCCGCAGCCCACACAGGGAGTTTGGTTTCCACAGCAAGCAGTTTAAAAATGGATTATTCTCGTGGTTTTTGTACAATGTTACGAGAGTCTCACTGTCTCTTTTCACCCATAAAATATACACAAAGACAGCAGTGGATGCACATGTATACTGCAGCTACAGCAGCGGATGCACATGTATACTGCAGCTACAGCAGCAGATGCACATGTAAACTGCAGCTACAGCAGCGGATGCACATGTATACTGCAGCTACAGCAGCGGATGCACATGTAAACGGCAGCTACAGCAGCGGATGCACATGTATACTGCAGCTACAGCAGCGGATGCACATGTAAACTGCAGCTACAGCAGCGGATGCACATGTAAACTGCAGCTACAGCAGCGGATGCACATGTAAACTGCAGCTACAGCAGCGGATGCACATGTATACTGCAGCTACAGCAGCGGATGCACATGTATACTGCAGCTACAGCAGCGGATGCACATGTATACTGCAGCTAACCTCCATTGTGGAAATAGCTCAAAAAGTATTATATAGAAAAAAGGTAATCCCTTAGCGTATCCCTGTCATAGGATGTTAGATGTATTGTCTTCACATATGTTAATCAGACCTTATGTGGGAATCACATTGTTAATCCAAGACGTCTGTGATGATATCTACATTCTAACAATGGGGATCACGTAATTAATCCAAGACTTCTGTGGTGAGATGTACACTATAACAGTGGGGATCACGTGATTAATCTAAGACTTCTGTGGTGAGATGTACACTATAACAGTGGGGATCACGTGATTAATCCAAGACTTCTGTGGTGAGATGTACACTATAACAGTGGGGATCACGTGATTAATCTAAGACTTCTGTGGTGAGATGTACACTATAACAGTGGGGATCACATGGTTAATCCAAGACTTCTGTGGTGAGATGTAGACTATAACAGTGGGGATCACATGGTTAATCCAAGACTTCTGTGGTGAGATGTACACTATAACAGTGGGGATCACATGTTTAATCCAAGACTTCTGTGGTGAGATGTAAACTATAACAGTGGGGATCACATGGTTAATCCAAGACTTCTGTGGTGAGATGTACATTCTGATGATGGGAAGAAGAAGAAAGTTTACCAGGCATTTGTTTTTAAATGTAGTCAACTTTTGAACCAAACTTCCATCGATTCTCTAATCTTCATTGGCATTTTTTACAACTGAAATACTTAACTAGATTTTTTTTAAAGTATGTCTGTATATACATTTGACCTGGGCCTGTAGATCCACTCAGTTTGAAATGGATACCAGGAAGGCCAGGGAAAATAAAGGCAGCTAGTGATACTGATTGTTTAATCCAGTGAGTGCAGATCACTCTATAAAAATGTATTTAGCATCATATGTACTCAAAGACAACTTGTCACAGACATCAGAAAGAAACAGTTATATTCTTTGGTCATGGTACATGAAGAGGGACACTGGAACATGTTGTGACCCCTGGAAAGATCGGTGGAAGAAGAGACACAGGAAGACATTGGAAGAAAGTTTTTGACAGCCTTTTGTCATGGCATGGAGGGGTGTCAGCACATGAACTAATCAGTGCTGTTAGGGGTCACAGGTTGTGGAGAGGCATGATCGCTCATGCAGGTTGGCCAAGTACTTAATGATTAAAAGGTTATTTTCCTTTTTTTTTTCTATATAGATTACTGATTTAGGAGTCAACATCAAACCCATAGATGCTCCTTCTCCCGCAGCAAATGTCTTCAGATGTAGATGCTAACTGTTCCCGGAGAATACTGATTATACTCACATCCTTCTCTTCCTCTCAAACGTTCCTCCTTGCCAGATTCACTCCTAATTCCTCATTCACACATTTTTATTTCATCTAACCTTATGTCTTCTGTGAACATTCTTTCATGTATGGTCTTCAGAATATCTCCCTTGTCCCTCGATTTTGAAGCCAGAAAATCAGCTCTTTCATCCCCTCGCACTCCTGCATGTCCTGGACAGTATATTCATGTGAGTCCCCGCAAGGTTTTCCTCCTATACAGGATACCTTCTTCTTCTTTCGTTAGCTTGAAATAGATTATCTTTATCTGCAATGCTGTCTGTAGTATGAACTTTACTGTCTGTTGTAATTCACTCAGCGACCCTAAAGTTTGACTTGCACCGATGTTTCTCTTGGCCAAAAGTTTTGACTTGATATGTTGTATTTGGAACAGTCTTGAAGGACATGATCTGTTGTCTCAGATGCCAATCCACATGTGTACACATGGCTGATTCACTAATCTAAATTCTGTGTGCATGAGGCTGCAAAGTCAGTTGTGTCCTGTTCTAAAGTGTACACTAATATATTGCTCTTGTCTGTCCATTATATATCGTCTTTTGCCAGTTTTGGTGGCTTTCTGATTGATTAGATTACTGTCTTTTTATTTTGATAGGAGACTGGTATGTCAGGTTGTTCTTCATTTGCACCTTCCTTAGCTAGTTTATCAGCTTTTTTATTTCCAGGAACTCCACAGTGTGATGGTATCCATTGTATAATACCTTACACTGGCTGCCTAGTTTGGTCAGTAGTGTTCATATACCATGTAATTTTCCAGATTCAAGTGCCTATAGTATCACTCTTGCATCTCTACAGGATACCATAATGGACATTCTGAAGAAGACCCAGGTTCACTTCATCCACTGTGTGTTGCCTCACCATTTTGCTGGACTTGGGGAGCAGCAGAAGCTCCCGCAGGATGACTGCATCCTCAATGTGCCCCTAGTGAGGAACCAGCTAAGAGGATTTGAGGTGCTGGATGCCTTGAGATTGTATAGACTGGGTAAGTGATATATAACCTGTGGTGATGTTTGTAGACTGGGTAAGTGATATATAACCTGTGGTGATGTTTGTAGACTGGGTAAGTGATATATAACCTGTGGTGATGTTTGTAGACTGGGTAAGTGATATATAACCTGTGGTGATGTTTGTAGACTGGGTAAGTGAAATATAACCTGTGATGTTTGTAGACTGGGTAAGTGATATATAACCTGTGATGTTTTGTCTTTTGGTTACTGCAAGCTCCCAGTGTGTATTTCAGGGCCTCAATGTGGGGTGGCACAAATAGACCCCCCACCAAATAAGCATGTCGTACATCATCATCATCATGTAGCGGGTCCTTTGCAAATCGTTGCTGTCATCCCCCCGTGTGGGTTCCGGGGCCCCATTGTGGGGAAAACAAGAATAGACCCACTGCCTCCCCAAAAGCATGACGTAAGAGTCGACTAATTGGGGAGCTTCCTTTGAAGTCAGAGTGCATCTGCCGGAGAGGCAAGGAACCAACAGTCTGTATTCAAGAGAATGAGATCTGTAAAACTGATGCACATGCAACACTCAGGTTCTGGAGCAGGGCTGCAGTTCAGTAGTGGACGAGCAACCAGAACTTTCCGCCAGAGTGTACAGCTGGTGAACGCGAAGAAGAAGAAGAGTTGCTGTCATCACGGTCTGCCTGAAAGAAACTCGGTCTCTGGCCAGCTCTCCCACCTCATGTACTTTTGTATTCAAGGAGTCATGAGTTATGAGTTAGATTATCTTCACAGCACTCTGGACACATCCATAGGCGCTCAGATTCCCCTCTCAACTATTCATCAGCGTCGTGCAGTTAATAGTGCCAATCCTATGTTGGTTAACAAGACTTTGTTAACCAACATCCGGTGTGCATCTGGTGTGCTTCTCATGCTTAGCAGTGATGTGGACACGTTGCTTTCAAAATCCTCAGAAAGTCCTATCTCTCTAAGAGCAGTGAAAATGTCTGCTTGATCCATCTTCAATTAATGCAGCACCTGCCAGTCTGTCAGGTCTTTCATTACCAACAACGCCTGCATGCCCTGGGACGAATTTTAAGGTGCACACACATGAGAGTGTTGCAATGACTCAACCACTGTCTGCGTAGTCAGCCTGCCTCGACCCGCCAGATTCAAGGAATCACTTTATATCCTGTGCCCACCTTTGTGTTGGTTAGCCCCTGCCCCTCCTTCCTGTTACTATGCCTTCTGCTATTATTTTTTTCAATCCGTCGTGGTGCTTGATATGACTAAAAAAAATTTGGCTTCTGAGACAAGATGCTATTCATCAGCCAGTCTTCCTTGATGTTCAGATCTTTTAAAATGTCAATATTTCTTCTCTTTTTTTCCTTGGTATTCTGATAATCTTTCTATAGCCTCTCAGCTCAGAAGCCCCTATTTTATTTCTTAAGGACTGGGAGGTAGTCAACAACTTCCATCTGTATGTTGCTACAGAGAAGATGCATGTTCGCAAAAATATAATTTAAGCAGCTTTCAGTCCCAGGGGGTTTAACATCAGAGGCCCAAGGGGTAGTAAAGAGAGACTTAAAATCAGCACATCTTGTCATCTTTTGGCTTGTAGGTAGGAACCTATGAACGCATGATGTGTTCCTTAGAACTGAAAGAGTTAATAGCCCTGAAAAAAATATGTAACTGTAATTGTATATTTTAAAACCAGGTGAAGTATTTTCAGTTCTAATGTTATTTTAGTTTTAACAAATGCAAGTGAAAGTTGGATAACCGGCTCTCCTTTAAATAACTGTCGCTAGCTGGAAAGCCGACCGTCGCTTAGTCGGAGTTCACTCCCTTGGCTGCATTGCAAATACGGAGCGTAAAGAGGGAACAAAACAAATGACATACTTACCTCTCATTATACGGTTGCGTAGGGTGCAGGGTTTGAGTTAGGGGTAAGCTTAGGGGTAGGGTAAGGGTTAGGGGTAGTGTTAGGGTTTGGGTTAGGGGTAGGGTTCGATGTGAAAATGTTGATGCAGGAGTTCCAAATAATGGCAGACAATCTGATGCTTGTGGGAGTGGCGCCACTAGAATTTTCCTAAATATGATGGAAATAGCGTGCGGCTGGTGCCCAATTGATGGCTAATTGTCCGTTTGAGTAGCATCCACAGTCCTTCAATTGTTTGGGTGTGTATGTCCCTGTGCGCGATTATTTGGAACTCCTGCGTCAAAATTTTTACATCTAACCCAAACCCTAACCCTAACCCTACCCCTAACCCTACCCCTAACCCTACCCCTAACCCTAACCCTACCCCTAACCACGCAAACTTATGGGTCATTAAGGCATACAGATCTGCAGGAGTCACATCCATGGCAACTAAGTCGTGCGTCGCAAGAACATGGTTGCTAATGTGAGTCGGAGCTTGATGTCTAACTGCCATGTTGAAATTGTTTTTGATTCGTGACTTTTCCACTCCGTATTTGCAATACAGCCAAGGGAGTGAACTCCGACTAACCGACCGTCGACGTCCAGCTAGCGACCGTTATTTAAAGGAGAGCCGGATAACCTTTTAAGACATGGAATGAAAGTTTAATGCATTCAAAAAGAAATGCCTGAGGAAATGATGAAAATAAAATAGTATGAATTCAAAAGTTGTGAAGAAATAAGAGAGATGTCTGGGCAACCACTAGTACCAAGAGTTATAAGACAGAGAAGATGGTGCTACATTGGACACTTCCTGAGAAGAAGCCAGCAGAAAATCACCAAACAGGCATTGAAGTGGGAAACAGAGGAGGTGAGGAAGAAACCCTAAAACGAACGTTGATGAGAGAGGCCAGGGGTCCTGGACAGGATTCCATCCATGATATTGATCTGCTTGCACAGGATAGAAGGGATTGGAGGAATAGCCCTATGTGACTAATAATTACCTGTTTGAAATTACTTAGTATAAAATGTTTGATATCCTTCCACTTCTATTTGTCAGATGTCTGGTTCTCTGGTTATTTGTGTAAACTGAGACAGCATTTCTCTTGGTCATAGGTTTCCCTGACTCACTGCCTTTCACCGACTTTGTCAACAAGTTTGAGCCACTCGTTCCTGGGCTCAGCAAAACTGGACATGGGGAAGGAGATCTGAAATTGGTAAAATATTGATGTGTTTTTTTTTAAATAAATTATATGCGTGGATTCATGCGAAAAATCTCTCAGGCTCTAGTCGCATGCAGCCTTCTCAGGCACACTGACAGATAGTTCAGCATCATCTTGAATACGAAATAAGGAACGTTGGAAACACCACACCGCTGATCAGATACAAAATGTTTATTGGTTCCAGTAACTGTTTCCTCAGTCAGTGCACCAGATCGGCCACATATGGCAGCATCAATGAATTCAACATTACCTCCATAGAATGACCTAACACAGCACCTCCAACCGTCGACACTTCAAAAGCTACCAAATGTACACTTGAACAGAAACACTCGTCTTGCAGCAGGCGCCAACTCAACTATTTACGGAACATAATAGGTTTTTCTGCTCGGTCAGATGCCCAATCAAGCACTCACATTCTCTGAAGATTCACTCACTTTTCATTTGTCAAGCGATATACGACCCGACTTTCTCAACCTCGAAAACAGGACTGAAATTTCTCGATCATTCCAAATTTAAATAAACTATTTCCCTCTCGGGTTCTCAAATGTTCCACACACAATTCAAGTTTTTCTCATCTGGCACACTTTCAGCCAACATGCACACTTATCTCGAGTTATTCATTACTCAATCCTGAGAAAATGACTCATTACAGAACACACAGTTGCCTAGTAAAACCACAAACAGCCAAGATTAAGCAATGTATCATGTAATGATATCTTAACTGGTATGGGATAACAGTTTTGGATTAATTGCTGTATTACAAAAAGAATACCCTAATTGGTGTGAGATCATAATTTTAGATTAAATACCTTACTCTCTGTGTGTCTTACGGTGCCCAGCTGTTGGGCAAAACAAGAACAGACCCACTGCCTCCCCAACAAACATGTCATAGGAGTCGACTTAAGGGTGCTTCCTTTAAAGTCAGAGTGCATCTGCCTGGAACCAACAATCTGTAAACTAATATGCTAGATCTGTAAAGTGGGTGTGCATGCAACACTCAGGTTCTGGAACAAGACTACAAGTCCAGAGGTGAACAAACAGCCAGAACTTTCTGCTGAAGTTTACAGCTGGTGAATGCAAAGAACAAGATGGGAGGATAACATCAGAGAAACTCTACAGCACGTCTATGGTCGAAGCAGCCAGAAGGGCACGAAGCAGGACCTTATATCTCCCTCCACACCTGAAGCGGTAAAAGGGGACATAAAAAAGAAGAACACGAAGAAGAAGAAGAGAGCAAAGAAGTTAAAGAAGAATGCCTTACATTAAAGCACTGAATTCATTTAGGTTGATGGTTTCATTTCAACTGAATGCTGTACTAGATGAGAAAACCTTAATTGAAATGAGATTATGTCAGATTAAACATAGACAAAGAATTACCAGACAGGTACGGAAGTGGGAAACAGATAGATTGAGAAAACAAGGATGTCCGTGAGAAACCCTAAGATGAATGTGGTTGAGAGAGGCCAAAGGTGCTGGGCTGGATTCCATCTATGATATGGAGAGGATTACACAGGATAGAATTGAATGGAGGACTAGACTGAGTCCTGTGTGACATATGCAGCACAGGAAGGTGCTAATAGTGATGATTCTTAAATCAAGGGCAGTAAAATGCCTCATGGGAGATTGCACCGCTGCACTCATAATTGTAAGTTGGTGTGCTGCCAGTCTACCATGAAATCCTACTACTTTTGTACCTTCTCCACAACGCACATTAGTAGATATTGGTTATGTTATGTGTCATAAACTCTGTGCCTTTTCTGGTGGTATGCAAGTGTACGCTTGACCGGCACCTATGTTTTAAAGTATAACTTTGGAAATCTATATTTAACACATAATTTTTGTTAAACCTTTGTTTTAAAGCATACATTTTTAAACCCATGTTTTAAAGCATGCATTTTAAAACTTATGTTTTGAGGCATAATTTTTTTAAACCTTTGTTCTGAAGCATACCTTTTAAAACCTATGTATTAAACCATAATTTTTAAATAAAAAAATAAATGTTTCGTTGTTAGTAATATCAAATCTCTAAAAGATCTTCACCGATTGCTTTTTAATTTTGACATAACGTTGCATTCGAATACGCGCATGTTTTAATATAAAAATTTCACACAAAGCACGGACTACATAGCTTTAGCGACAATCTTATCGGTTTTTGTTTTGTTGCCACATTCCCGGCATGGCTTGTTACTTCTGCAGGTAGGCAAACTTTGACTGTTGACCTCAGAAATCTGCATGAAGCTGTATGCCAACAGCTCTTCACTGATTGATTAAAAATTTAGACACAACGTTGCATTCAGATACGCGAGTGTTTTTATGTACAAATGTCGCACAAAGCACGAACTACATAGCTCCAGCGACAATCACATCGGCATCTTGGTTTTGTTTTCCGACGACCCAATTTTTTTTCATTGCCGTGTTCACCGCTCGGGTTGTCGGCCAACTCCGACTGTTAACCTCAGAAGTCAGCATGAAGCTGTATGAGATAATAAATTATGTGGTAAATATTACACTGGCCTCATTCACTTCTTATTACAGTTCATGCTATCCATTTTAGTCTGGGTGGACACCGATGCCAAGGTCAATTTTTAAAAAATGATATCATCCGGTGATGAATTTCAAATCCTTTAGAGATGGAGAGAGGAATAGTCTGTGGACTGGGGAAAGGGGGGTGGTGATGACAGACACTGTTAACTGAGAGAGTTTAAAACATGATTTTAAAGTTTTCATTTTTTAATTATTTATATTTTAATAACCCTTCCTTTGCAATTTCTTTTTTTTAAAACGAATTATTGGTCATTTTGAAGTACAGTGAGTAAGCTTTACTTTCAGCTGTTGAAAAAAAAAAAAAAGCTTTAGCATGTGATAAACAGATAACCATTTTTTCAATTCTTAATAACACAATTTAAACCACCACTAATCTAAAGACACTTTTGTATTGCGTGTTCTAGAGTTGACAAACCAGACTTTCTCTATATCTGTGAAATTGACCACTTTAGACACGTGCACTTTCTATTTTCTTTATTTTCCATTTCGCCAGACTGAGCCACAGCAATGCATGTCTGATACAGCTTGTATACTATATTTTTTTAAAGTCTAGAATATGAACATGTACTGTTAGTTTTCACATTATGACCCTTATTTCCAGCCATTGTATTTTATTCTTTTTTTTTTCCCCCCACCAGACTGTAAATATGATTCTGGACCATCTAGACATTGATAAACTCAACTACCGTGTGGGAAACTCCAGGGTATGCTGTCATTGTGTGTCTGTGTGGTCGAGTCTACTACTGTGTGTGTTTGTTTCGCTCGGAGAGTTTTGAGTTATGATTTGGGTTATCTTCACGGCACTCCGGACTTGCCTATAGGTGCTCAGATTCCCCTTTCAACATATACATCAGCGTCCTGCGGTTGATAGTCCCAGTCCTGTGTTAGTTGAAAAGATTTGTTGTGCGTCCGGTCTGGTTCTCATCCCTGGCTGTGGCAATCTTTACTCCCAATTCTTCCCTCTTAGCAAAGATGTGGATTTGCTGCTCCCAGGATCCTCCAATCATTCTACCTCTCTTTTGCATTAACAATGTCTGCATGATCCATGGGCTGACCCTCTGTAACTAAGGCAGAGCCGGCTAATCTGTTGGCTCTTTCATTGCCCACAACACCTGTATACCCTTTGACAAAGATAAAGGTAACTCCACGCACAGTGAAGTTTTGCAATGCCTTGATCCACTTTCTGCGTACAAAGCCTGTCTCGACCCACCAGATCACGCTCATGGAATCACCCAGCACACACATGAGAATAGCTCTGGCATGCTAGCCACATGAAAGTTGGGGTGGGGAGGATATTCAGGATATGGTTTGTGTGTCTGTGTATATCATTTCTGAGAAGTTGAAAGCGCATGGGTGTTCACAGATTACATTGTCTCTTGTTACACTGTACATCTCACCAACAGAAGTTTAAGATTAACCAATGGATCTAAACAGAATTCTAAGTTTAACCAAGTGATTAACATGGAAGTCTAAGATTAACCGAGTAATTATAATTATCATGGAAGTTTATGGTGAATTAAAAACAGGAAGAAGATGTTGAGGCCGAACTCTACTACGTTATAAAGATGTATGCAAGTGGGACATGAATGATACAGGTATTGAGGCGGACTCATGGGAACAAAATATCATGGACCATGTTGTGTGGAAAGGGCATATCAGGAAGGGAATGAGACTGAAGGAAGAAATGATTGCAGAAAGGATGAGAGCTGAGCGTCTGAAAAGAAACGGATTAAACACAAATGTTGTTATCAATGGTCCTGAAATCCCATGCTATCATTGTGGAAGACTTTTTTTGACACGGGCGGGTCTTGCTAGTCATACTCGCCATCTCCATGGGCTGTGAGTCTCATGCCTTCTTATAGCGCAATATAACACTATCGTCTGTAAAGACGGAAAGGTGCTTATGATGAATGGAAGTTTAAGATTTTGTTGTTGATGTTGTTCTTGTTGTTTGTGATGTTAATTGTCCAGGATTCACCTCTGAGTTAGCATAAGCCATGTAATTTGTTTACTGACTTAGAAATTGTTATCTAGTTTTGAATGCCTTCTTTCAGGTGTTTTTCCGACCTGGATGCCTGGCCCAGCTGGAGCTGAACAGAGATGAGAAGTTTACGGGGATTGTGGGACAGTTCCAGGCTTTGTGTCGAGGCTACCTGGGCAGGAAGAAGCTGGAGAAGCTAAAGGTGGTTTGTTTCAACCATTTCTCTTTTTTGACTCCTTGTTGTTGCTCTTTTATTTCGGAATCTTTTCCAGCATATATTGCTTGATCTATATTTTTATATTCATCCTAGCCAAACAAACACACACACACAAACACACACATACACACACACACACACACACACACACACACACACACACACACACACCAGTGAAAGACAAGAGCCATAACTCAAACAATATTAGATGAAACTGTTGGATGTCAAGTCCTTTTTTTTTGAGAGAGAGAGAAAGAGAAAGAGAGGGAGAGACTGAATTTTGAATCTTAAGTTCCTGGTGTGGGTTCTGGGACCCCATTTTGGAGGGGAAAAGAATAGACCCATTGCCTCCCCCCCCCCCCCCCCCCCAAAGAATGCATGTCATAAAAGGCAAATAATTAGGGAAATTTCCTTCAAAGTCGGAGTGCACCTGCCTGAGAGGCGAAGAACCAGCAGTCTGCATGCATGTAAGCCATAACTATAAAATGGATGTTAAATGTTGAATTAAAATCAGGATCAAAGCTTTCTGGACACTCTCATAAGCGCTCCGTCCCCATCTTCAGCAGCAAGTGAAGAATTCCAATTCCGATGGTACCAGTACCTGTCTGTATATCTGTCTTGCCTTTCCCTTGAGTGTTGAGCATCTGCTAAATCCCCTGGTAACTCCATGCAGTACCATTATCCTCAGACTGTAATGATCTATCTGTGCCTCCTCAATGTTCACCGGCTCCCAAAGGGTTCTTACAACATCTAGCTTGTCATACATCAGTACATCAGTTCACCACCAACTGGTGCAGAACTGGCCGGTCTGTCTGCCTGCTCATTTTCCAACACACCGGCATAACTTGGAGAGAATATCCAAAGAATGCTAACTACCTAGGACCTCTGAAGTGATGCTGGCCACTCTGCATGGACAGTGCCTGACTATAAAATGGAATTGGATTTGCACGCAAAACCCAAATTCTGGAACAAGACCAAAGTCTAGAAGTAGAAAAACACCAGATCTTTCTGCTGGATTTTACAGCAGGTGAACATGAAGGCAAAAAAGAAGAAGAATCCTCAGTAAGATGTTACATTTGTTTTTGTCTGGGGCACAAATAAACTCCTATCGTGCACATTTTCTTGCAGCTGTACTAGCTATAGGGCCCTAAACCTCAGCCTTCATATAATTACCCCCCTCCCCCATCCCCCTCCCCCCTCCCAATTACCTCTTGGAGAAGTAGCAGTATGTGGGAAAAGGGCAGTGAAAGACAATTTTTTTTTTTTTCAACCGTGGGTAATGAAGGCATTAAATTGGAATGATTTGTAACTACAGGTTCAACACACAGCCATCAGGTGTATACAGAGAAATGTACGCAAGTACATGCAGAACAGAGAATGGGAGTGGTGGAGGCTGTACACCAAGGTGAAGCCGTGAATGTGTATTGTAAATATAGAGAAAGATGTATAGAGAGATATGAATGTAAACAGAGAGATATGTTTGTACAGCGAGAGAGAGAGAGAGAGAATTGTATACAGAGATGTATCAATATTTGGAAACGTATGTATGTGTATAAAGGAAGATGTATATAGAGATGTATAGAGATATATATTTATGTATATAAAGGAAGATGTATACAGAGATGTATAGAGATATATATGTATGTGTATAAAGGAAGATGTATACAGAGATGTATAGAGATATATATGTATGTGTTTAAAGGAAGATGTATACAGAGATGTATAGAGATATATATGTATGTGTATAAAGAAAGATGTATACAGAGATGTATAGAGATATATATGTATGTGTTTGAAGGAAGATGTATACAGAGATGTATAGAGATATATATGTATGTGTATAAAGGAAGATGTATATAGAGATGTATAGAGGTATATATATGTGTATAAAGGAAGATGTATACAGAGATGTATAGAGATATATGTGTATGTCACAGACCTCTGGGTGACCTTGCTGGTCTGTGGCTCGTAACTGGGCCTATGACAGACAGACTAACCTTTAACACACACTGAACCCGAACGCACACAGAGCACACACGACAATCTTTATTGGAAGTACAGGTAATACATAGACAGTTGACTTCCCGCCGTGTGGCCACCTATTGCCTGGACCCTCTGGCTGAACGGGTTTTACAATCGCCTCGTCCCCAGTACGTGCGACAGGCAATCTTCTGGTGTACAAACCACAACCCGGCAGGATACGCTCTCTTCTATCGCCACGCTGACCCAATCAAACTGTCACAGTCTCTGTCTTAGTGCAGGGTCAGAGTGTCAAGGTTAGCCACTCTCTCACAGCACATATACATAAATACTCTACACAAGAACTATCCTATCCTAACACAAAACTGTACATAAACTATCCAGTCACTAACAGAAATATCCTAACTCTAAAACTATAACATAACTGTCTTGCTAAACGTCCTCTCTTCCTGACCGACGCACACCGAATGTCCCTTGACCCCGTTCACCAGCTCAGTCCCAAAAGCAGTCATCGTGTTACTACAACACAGTTCAGTCTTTCTTGCTTTATCCTGAGCGCTGGTTTCGCCGTGCGATCACAGAACGGACTTGACCAGTCACGGCCCTGACCTTTGTGTCAACCCTGGGGTGTCACGTCAACACCCCCACCTACGGTGTGGTACACTGACTGTACTTGATAGGGTTGTGACAGTGTATAAAGGAAGATGTATATAGAGATGTATAGAGATATATATGTATGTCTATAAAGGGAGACAAAGTATACATGCAGTTTCCTTAAATAGATGGAGAGACCTCTGATTGAACCTCAAAGGACATAGGCTTACACATTATTTAGGTGCCACAGTCTAACTTGTCTGCGTAATCTAACCCACAGGCGGAGGTGGAATTACTCAAGGCCAAAAATGAGAAACTGGAGAAGGAAAGAGCAGAGTACAAGACACAGTGTGATAAACTGGAGAACAGGGTCAGTTGGTGTGTTCTTCATGGTTTAAGAACTTATTATGTTCATGGTTTTAGAACTCATTCTCTTCATAGTTTCACAACTCATTCTCTTCATGGTTTTACAACTCATTCTCTTCATGGTTTTACAACTTATTCTCTTCATGGCTTTACAGCTCATTCTCTTCATGTTTCACAAATCATTCTCTTAATGTCTTTATGCTCATTTTCTTCATGATTTTACAGCTCATTCTCTTAATGGCCTTATACTCATTCTTTTCAGAGTCTTATAACTAATTCTCTTCATGTTTTTACAAGTCATTCTCTGTATAATTGTATTGTCACTGTTTTCTTGATTTCACAGGTCATTGTCTTAATGGCTTTACATCTCATTCTCCTAATAGCTTTACATCTCATGTTCTTCAGAGTTATACACTAATTCTCTTCAAAGTTTTACAGCTCATGTTCTTCATGGTTATTAGGGCTGTACCGAATATTTGCTTCGTATTGGCTTTGGGGCCGAATAGTGGACCTAGTAACTATTGGGTATTCGGCCGAATACTTGCGGTCGGGCTGAATACGAATATTGGTTACCTTACACCCGTTTTGCATACACTGCGATGGACTGAAATAACTCTCTCATTAACATAATAGTTGCTGTTGCCTAAGTCTGTTGTAGCGGAGGAAACTGCAACCCGGTTGCGTGGTACAGCAGCTGACAAGGTCTTTGCCTGCTGACTCGACCGAGGCATTACAGCAGAGGTTCTCAAACTGGGTGCGTATGCCAGGGGTGCCGCGGCGACAGTCAAGAAAAGCCAGCTATAAATTGTGACACTATTAAAGAAGGCATAAAGATTCTTAAAAGTTAAAATTTAAATTGTCTTTCCTCATCACTGTTGAAAAGAGTTGTTTTTCTTGTTTTGCACTCAAAGTGTATCATACTGCAGAAAATTCCGACCAAAGCCTGCTAAAAATTGTCTTTGTATTTGTTTCGAGGGGCGACCTATCCTCCATTTGTATTCGTTAAGGTGCAGCGGATAAGTAAGGTTGTGATTACATTTTGGCTGAAATTTTAAAGTGGAAAATGTGGTCTGTACAATAGTCACTGTTAGTTTCGTCAAGTAAGCACTTATAATTAAAGGCAATGCGTTGTGAGTCCTGGACAATCGGTAGGCAGGCCAAACAATTACTTGAGGCCTCAGAGATGTGGTTTTACAGAACAATGCTTAAAATACCCTGGACAGCTAAAAAAAGCAACCAAGAGGTTTTGAAAGTTGCAGGAGCCCGAAGACAACTAATCACAGACATCAGAAGGAGACAGTCATAATTTTTTGGCCATGTTATGAGAAGAGGGAAAGTGGAACATGTGGTGACCACTGGAAAGATCTGTGGAAGGAGGGATAGAAGAAGGCAACGAAAGAAGATTCTTGACAGTCTTGTTGCATGGCATGGAGGTGTGTCATCTCACGAACTAATACATGCTGCAGGAGATCGCAAATTGTGGCGAGGCATATTCGCCCACGCCAGTCGGCAAGGCACCTGATGATGATGATACACTATTCGTATTCGGCCGAATAGTTAGTCCCGCTATTCGTATGCGGCCGAATAGGGAAAATCACTATTCGATACAGCCCTAATAGTTAAACAGCTTGCTCTTTGATGGTTTTACAGCTCATTCGTTTCATGGTATTACAGCTCATACTTTTCATGGTTTTACAGCTAATTTCTTTCATGGTTTTACAGCTAATTTGTTTCATGGTTTTACAGCTCATTCTTTTACAGCTAATTTCTTTCATGGTTTTACAGCTTGTTCTTTTCATGGTTTTACAGCTAATTTCTTTCATGGTTTTACAGCTCAATCTTTTCATGGTTTTACATCTAATTTCTTTCATGGTTTTACAGCTTTCTTTCAGGGTTTTTTTTTCTTCCAGCCTTTCATCTACCCACCCATCTGGATACTAAAACAAAGCCAAACCTGTTTTAATATATCAGCACATATAGGCAGCCATCCATCCATCTACCATTGCATCTATCTACAACGTAGAATACTGTCCCGCCCATTCATTCCCCCCCATCTCACCATCCACTCAATCATTTTTCACCGCTTCCTTACACTCTGGTTGTTACCAGTCTTACTCTCGGACTCGACTGATTACTTTTGTATAACAAGCATCCTTACTGTCTCTATTTGATAGCTGACAGTAAGAGAGAAGCATCTATCTATCTATCTATCTATCTATCTATCTATCTATCTATCTATCTATCTGTTTTTATCTATCTATCTATCTATCTATCTATCTATCTATCTATCTATTTGATATCAGTAAGAGAGAAGCATCTATCTATCTATCTATCTATCTATCTATCTATCTATCTATCTATCTATCTATCTATCTATCTATCTATCTATCTATCTATCTATCTATCTATCTATCTATCTATCTATCATCCTATCCATCCATCCATCCATCCATCCATCCATCATCCATCCATCATCCATCCATCCATCCATCCATCCATCCATCCATCCATCCATCCATCCATCCATCCATCCATCCATCCATCCATCCATCCATCCATCCATCTATCTAATCTATCTAATCTATCTAATCTATCTAATCTATCTAATCTATCTAATCTATCTATCTATCTATCTATCTATCTATCTATCTATCTATCTATCTATCTATCTATCTATCTATCTATCTATCTATCTATCTATCTATCTATCTATCTATCTATCTATCTATCTATCTATCTATCTATCTATCTATCTATCTATCTATCTATCTATCCATCTATCCATCTATCCATCTATCCATCTATCCATCTATCCGTCTGTCTGTCTGTCTGTCTGTCGATATTTGTTTGCAAGCACAGGCACCACTTTTATTCCATGCGGATGGACTTAGGTCATCCCCACAACCCAACCCCGGTTACGCCCTATAGGCCAACCCCTCCCTCCTTAGACACTCAGTGTACGCTGTTGGCGTCCAACCCGTCCCTTTTTTTGCCCCTACCTGCACGTTGGAGGTATATAGGCTGACCGTCGTTTCATTGAACGAAGTTTTTTCGCCAGGGACACTAGATGAGTATCGTTTATTCTATAGATTAGAGTCCTATGTAGTCACTTCATAGTTAGAGCCTATTTGTGTATGTGTACTGTGTTGTCCTTTATGTGCTGATGAAGGCTAATCGCCGCAACGTCCTTTGTTTGTTTATTGTGATCGATTTTGTAAAGCTAACATAGACTAATTGTTGTTTCTTACCAACTTTTTCTCTTCCTTATAATTTTCTACTCCTTATAAAAACTTCATGGTTTTACAGCTAAGTGTTTTCATGGTTTTATAATTCATTCTCTTCCTGATTTTTCATTCGATTCTCTTCATGGCTCCACAGCTCATTCTTTTAACGGTTTTACATTTCAGTTCTTTTTCTTCTTCCTGTTCATTGGCTGTAAACTCCAGCGAAGAGCTCTGGGTGTTCATCCACCTCCGGACTTTAGTCTTGTTCCAGAACCTGAGTGCTGCATGCACATCCATTTTACAGATCTGGCTTGTTTGTATGCAGACTATTGGTTCCTTGCCTCCCAAGACAGATGTTCCCAGTTAGTCAACTGTTACGACATGCTTGTTGAGCGGGCAGTGAATCTGTTCTTGTTTTCCCCCACAATGGGGCCCCGGAACCCACACGGGGAACAACACATTTGATTTTCTCAGTAACTTACTTAATTTGGGCTATGACTACAAGCAAAAAAAAATCTTTGTTATGTTATAGTTAGCAGAAGAGAATACAACATCCTTGTTATGTTGTAGTTAGCAGAAGAGAACACAACATCCTTGTTGTGTTCCAGTTAATAGAAGAGAACACAATATTCTTGTTAAGTGCTATTTAACAGAAGATAATACAACATTCTTATGTTCTATTTAGCAGAAGATAGTGCAACATTTTTGTTATGTTCTAGTTAGCAGCAAAGAATACAACATCTTTGTTATGCTCTAGTTAGCAGAAAAGAATGCAACATTCTTGTCATGTTCTAATTAGCAGAAGATAATACAACAATAACATCCTTGTTACTTTCTATTTAGCAGAAGATAATACAACAATAATATCCTTGTTATGTTCTATTCAGAAGAAGATAATACAACATTCTTGTTATGCTCCAGTTAGCAGAAGTGAATACAAAATTCTAGTTATATTCTATTTAGCAGAAGATAATACAACATTCTTGTTATGTTCTATTTAGCATAAGATAATACAACATTATATGTTATGCTCTAGTTAGCAGAAGTGAGTGCAGAACTGGCAGAAGAGAATACAACCTCCAGCGAGGCCGCCGACCTACTTGAGACAGAAACAGCTGAGAGGATGAAGCTGGAGAAGGATCTCAGGGAGCTGCAGGTAATGTCCTCTGGGGTCTGATGTCAACTTGGGGCCTGGCTTGTATATTATGTAAGGTGTTCAACCCATTCTCAACCAATCAGCTTGTCATGCATTTGTTGGTGTCACCTGACATAGATGTCTTTTTTGAGTTCCCAGTGACCTGTTCCTTTTGTTATATAAACCCTTATTGCATAAAAGTCTATTCTGTACTAAAACGTTCTTATTCTGAGTACTCCCACCAAACTATAACATAAAGTAACAACTTCTAAGAATAGATCGAGTTAACCCTGTCATCCCAGGACATGGAACAATTATGGGTCTTGACCACATGTGAATTCCCAGAAAAAAATTATTTTTAAACATTTTTTTTACAAAGATCAGTAATAAATATTATTGTTGAAAAAAAAATTTACAGATATAAAGCTATATAAGGAGTGTTATCAATAAACACGAAGCATTAAATGGAATACATTCCTTGGGGCTTTAAAAAACCAGTATGTATCGGATGATACATGCCCTGACCTATATTATTGAGGCTTACAGGAAAATTTGAAGTCAACTTGGCTTTAAAAAAATGCTGTTTGGCTCACAAGGAAAAAAATCCTAAATCCTTTTTTTTTAGTAACTATATTTAACTGTCACATGCTACTGTCTATCATTAACCCTTACAGCTATCAAACCTTTCACCATACTACCTTCAGAAATTACCCTTTTTTCAGCTGTCAGACCTTTCACCTAGTTGCCATCGAACATTACACTTTTCAACCGTCAGACCTTTCACCATCATACCATCAAACACTAAACTTTTAAACTGTCAAACCTTTCACCTTGCTGCCATGAAACATTACATTTTTCAACTGTCAAACCTGTTACCATGCTGTTATAAAATTTACACTTTTTAAACTCAAACCTGTCACCATTCTGCCATCATACACTAAACTTTTCAGCTGTCAAACCTTTTACCCTGCTGCCATCAAACATTACACTTTTTAACTGTCAAAACTTTCACCATCCTACCATTAAACATTGCACTTTTCAACTGCCAAACCTTTCACCATGCTGCCGTTAAACATTACACATTTTTCAACTGTCAACCCCATGTTACCATGCTACCGTCAAACATGAACCATTTCAGCTGTCAAACCTTTCATCATGCTACCATCAGACATTACGCTTTTCAACTGTCAAACTTAGCATGCTACCATCAAATATCACTCTCTCTCAACCATCAGATGTCACTTTTCATCACATCTGACACCCTTACCACTGTCAGCATAACATGCCTCTAGTGTTGTGGCTCTAAACCATCCTAATGCCGCGACCCTTTAAGACAGTTCCCTCATGTTGTGGTGACCCCCAGACAATTATCCCTTTAAGACAGTTCCCTCATGTTGTGGTGACCCCCAGACAATTATCCCTTTAAGACAGTTCCCTCATGTTGTGGTGACCCCTAGACAATTATCCCTTTAAGACAGTTCCCTCATGTTGTGGTGACCCCCAGACAATTATCCCTTTAAGACAGTTCCCTCATGTTGTGGTGACCCCCAGACAATTATCCCTTTAAGACAGTTCCCTCATGTTGTGGTGACCCCCAGACAATTATCCCTTTAAGACAGTTCCCTCATGTTGTGGTGACCCCCAGACAATTATCCCTTTAAGACAGTTCCCTCATGTTGTGGTGACCCCCAGACAATTATCCCTTTAAGACAGTTCCCTCATGTTGTGGCGACCCCTAGACAATTACTTTTCTATATAACTTCAATGAATATGTGTTTTCCTATAGTCTTAGGTGACCCCTGTGAAAAAGTTTTTCGACTCAAAAAAAAAGGGTCGCTATCGGCAGGTTGAGAACCACTGCTCTAGTGTGACAATTGACACCTTCTTGACCTCCACATTCTGTCTGTCTGATTCAGAACAAGTTTACAGTCCTCAAACGTCAGCATGAGAAGTTACAGATGGAGATGATGCAGACCCAACTGTGGCAGGCAGAGTCTGTAGACGACAGCTTGGAAGAGAAGGAAGGTGAGGAGTATTTAATTAAGCTGCTGCAGTCTTGTTGCATGGCATGGAGGTGTGTCGGCACACGAACTGATACATGCTGCAGGAGATCGCAGATTATGGAGAGGCATGATCGCCCACGCCAGTTGGCAAGGCACCTGATGATGATGAGTGTAGCTTTTTTTTTCTTGATGTTGGAGGTTGTAGACCATTATCTCTTGACCCAGTGTAGCTTTTTCTTTAATTCTTGATGTTGGAGGTTGTAGACCATTATCTCTTGACCCAGTGTAGCTTTTTCTTTATTCTTGATGTTGGAGGTTGTAGACCATTATCTCTTGACCCAGTGTAGCTTTTTCTTTAATTCTTGATGTTGGAGGTTGTAGACCATTATCTCTTGACCCAGTGTCGTCTAATGATAATAGTGGTATTTGGACCCTCATTGTAGGACCCTCTTTCATGCAATCATAGACTAAATCGTGGCGTTTGGACCCCTATCTTGTGACCCATTTCCATGTAATTGTAATATATACATATAAGTATAAAGTGGCATATGGACCCTCTCTCCTTGACCAAGTCTCATTGGATTATAATTGATGCAGTAGCATATAGACCCTGATCCTGTTACCTAATGTCGTTTTATCATCATATTTACACACACGGGCAAACAGCTGGTGAACACGAAGAAGAAAATGGATTTAGTGGTGGTTGAGGCAGTGGTTTCAAACCCAAAAAAAAGATTATAAACAGCATATTCATACCAACACTGTGCTACCAGTGCCAGACTGGGACCTTATCAAAGGCTGAGCTACATGGAATGAACACCTGTGAAATAAGATGCCTGAGAAGAGCTGCCAGCATATTGATACTATAAGACAGATTGTGAGAACAACAAAATGCACTGGAATCAATGAGAAACACAATGGTTTGGTCATCTTATTGGAATTCGCTGGCTCACTGCACTCAGAGGAAAAAGCAAGATGGACATATAACCAGATTGTGACCGTTACCATCAGTATGGAACTCTGCGCTGGCTGCTGAAGAAGAGGACGGAGCACACATGGGAATGCCCCGAGTGCTGTGATATCAATTCTTGACTCAACTCAACTCTTAATAGAATTCAGTCGCAACAATTACCAATAGAAAATATCTGATGTGAAAGCAAAAGGCTGCCATACAGGAAGATGGACTCACGGAATGACAGTATCCATTGCTACACATTAAACAGTGGATTACCAACTGTTCCTCTCCACAATGCACATAGACAAAAGTGGAAACTGATGAGGATGATGATGATCTAGTGCCACATGGAGCCTGATTCTTTGACCTACTGCTATTTAATGATAATATGTAACTGCTGAGGAGCGGCTGGCTGAACAGTTAGAACATTTGACTCTCAAGTGGAAGACCCAGGTTCAAATCCTTGATAAGGCTGGGGATTTTTGTCTGTTGGGGGGCAAAACAAAATCCTCACCTGCACAGTCATGGTGACAGCACTAGTCATGTAGTCATGGTGACAGCACTAGTCATGTAGTCATGGTGACAGCACTAGTCATGGTGACAGCACTAGTCATGGTGACAGCACTAGTCATGTAGTCATGGTGATAGCACTATTCATGGTGACAGCACTAGTCATGTAGTCATGGTGACAGCACTAGTCATGGTGACAGCACTAGTCATGGTGACAGCACTAGTCATGGTGACAGCACTAGTCATGGTGACAGTACTAGTCATGATGACAGCACTAGTCATGGTGACAGCACTAGTCATGGTGACAGCACTAGTCATGGTGACAGCACTAGTCATGGTGACAGCACTAGTCATGTAGTCATGGTGACAGCCCTAGTCATGGTGACAGCACTAGTCATGTAGTCATGGTGACAGCACTAGTCATGGTGACAGCACTAGTCATGTAGTCATGGTGACAGCACTAGTCATGGTGACAGCACTAGTCATGTAGTCATGGTGACAGCACTAGTCATGGTGACAGCACTAGTCATGATGACAGCACTAGTCATGGTGACAGCACTAGTCATGGTGACAGCACTAGTCATGGTGACAGCACTAGTCATGGTGACAGCACTAGTCATGGTGACAGCACTAGTCATGGTGACAGCACTAGTCATGGTGACAGCACTAGTCATGTAGTCATGGTGACAGCACTAGTCATGTAGTCATGGTGACAGCACTAGTCATGTAGTCATGGTGACAGCACTAGTCATGTAGTCATGGTGACAGCACTAGTCATGTAGTCATGGTGACAGCACTAGTCATGTAGTCATGGTGACAGCACTAGTCATGTAGTCATGGTGACAGCACTAGTCATGTAGTCATGGTGACAGTACTAGTCATGTAGTCATGGTGACAGCACTAGTCATGTAGTCATGGTGACAGCACTAGTCATGTAGTCATGGTGACAGCACTAGTCATGTAGTCATGGTGACAGCACTAGTCATGGTGACAGCACTAGTCATGTAGTCATGGTGACAGCACTAGTCATGTAGTCATGGTGACAGCACTAGTCATGGTGACAGCACTAGTCATGTAGTCATGGTGACAGCACTAGTCATGGTGACAGCACTAGTCATGGTGACAGCACTAGTCATGGTGACAGCACTAGTCATGGTGACAGCACTAGTCATGGTGACAGCACTAGTCATGTAGTCATGGTGACAGCACTAGTCATGGTGACAGCACTAGTCATGTAGTCATGGTGACAGCACTAGTCATGTAGTCATGGTGACAGCACTAGTCATGGTGACAGCACTAGTCATGTAGTTATGATGATAGCACTAGTCATGGTGACAGCACTAGTCATGGTGACAGCACTAGTCATGGTGACAGCACTAGTCATGGTGACAGCACTAGTCATGGTGACAGCACTAGTCATGTAGTCATGGTGACAGCACTAGTCATGGTGACAGCACTAGTCATGGTGACAGCACTAGTCATGCAGCCGTAAATCCTCAGGCTCAGAGACCCCCCCCCCCCCCTCCCCTTCCTTAAAGTGGTATAAAGGCAGTCATTGACAATTTTGGCCTAACTGCTCTAAAGTTAACCTGCCAATAGAGTAGTCAGAGTGATCAAGCAAAGGGATCAGCAGCAACAGTGTTCTCCCATTTTCAGTCATTGCTACAGTTCTTCACTGAGGCTTTTAAGTGAGCTGTTTTTCATGAGGAATGCCTTTCATCTGTGCAGCGGTTGTTTCGTGGTATTCAATATGGCCGGTCTAGGTGTCAGCTGGTGAAATACCTTGTATGGTGGTTATATGTGTGTAAAGCCCATTTATCGTGCCTGAGTACTTCCATCAACGATAAACTGCGTTTCTGGTGGCGACTCTTGGCTTTGGCACTACTAGCAACTGCCAAATGCATTTACTGTGTGCACATTTTTCTGTATTGTTCCAGGACTAATTGTTTGTTCACAAGTTTTTCAAATGTGACAGTGAGGGACATTTTATTTGATTTGCACCTGGCACAGGAATAGAGCAAGTATGCGGAAACCCGATTGCAGTGAAGTGGAAACCTTGACTAAGACTAAGTCTGAGGCTTTCATGGTATCTTTATAATGATCTGTCGATCCATTGTCGACTTACCCGTATTCATAAGCCCTTGTTTCCTCCCAGACAACTCAGCGTACAAGCGCAAGTATGAACAGGTGTCCAAGGAGCTGCAGATCACCAAGAAGCAGCTTCAGCACCAGCATGAGGAGGAGATTGACCAGGAACTACAGTCTAGGAAGCTCATAGAGAGAAAGGTCAGTCTAAGGGGGGCAGCTGTTATGTGTTACTGCCTCCTTCAAAGTTGGAGTGCATCTGCCTGAGAGGCAAGGAAACCAGCAGTCTGCATACATATGAGTCAGATCTGTAAAACAGATGCACACACAGCACTCAGGTTCTGGAAAAGGACTGCAGAACTTTCCGCCAGCTGGTGAATGTGAAGAAGAAGAAGATATGCTCCTACCCCCCCCCCCCCCCCCCCCCCCAAAAAAAAACAGTCTTATTATTTTGCTAACAAATGTTAAATCTTGAACTAAGAATCAACATCAGAGCACTCATAACACCCCTAGAAGAGCTCTGCCCCATCTTCAGCAGCAAGCGAAGACTTCCGATGGCACTAGTATCCGTCGGATTGTACATCCGTCTCACCTTTCCCTTGAGTGTTGAGAGCTGGCCAGACCCCCTGGTAACTCCCTGCAGCACCTTTCTCCTCTGACCGTAATGATCTGTTGGTGCCTCTGCACTGTTAACTCACTCCCAAAGGGCCCCTCATAGAATGTAGCTTGTCATACATCAGTTCACCACCAAGTGGTGCAGAACCGGCCAGTCTATCTGTCTGCTCATTTCCCAACACACCGGTATGACCTGGAGAAAATAATTTTTGCTACGTTTTTTTCCCTAGATACAAAAATCTACATTTATTCATATACAGATTTATTTATTTAAAAAAAACAAAAAAAAACATGTCCTAATTCTCCAGATTTTGAATTCCAGCCTCTCCCCACGTGGGTTCCGGAGCCCTATTGGAAAACTAAAAAAGGCCCACTGCCTACCCAAAAGCAGTCATAAGAGTCAACTGATGTTCATTTCTGTAAGGCTGTTCTTAATGCTATCACTGCATGTTTTCCTAGGTCTTCCACTCGCTCTATACCCTTTGTAACGTTTTAGTGTGGCTTGCTGTGGCAGATAGTACCAGGGCATTCTTGTTAGGTGTCCAAACCACTTCATTTGTTGTTCTTTGATGACCTGTAAGACTAGCTTTATTCCTAGCATTCTTCTGATTTCGTATTCTGTCTTTCTTTGAAACTCCTGCAGCTCTTTTAAGGCATTTCATCGCTGTTCTCACAATTTTACATCATTGGAGGATGTAGGTGTCCACGTTTGGCACTGATAGCATAGTGTTGGCCAAAAAACAGTTCTGATAAGATTCACTTTAGTTCTCCGGGGTATCTGCCCGTGTGTCAACAGGGGAGATAGGTGCGCCATTACTTGATTAGCTTTGACACATCTCAAGCTAATTTCTGTCCAGTTTTACGTCGGATGTGAAAATTGCTCCCAAATACTAGAATTTAATATTAATAATAACATGAAATGTATAAACTGGTAGTTAAACAGAGAAGGTCTGTATATGGTTACAAGCACCACTTAGCCTCTTGCCAGTTTTCAATTTTCGGAGGGGAAGGGGTGAAAAAAGAGAGGTGGGGGAGGGGGAGCTTAGTGCTCCCTCAACAATGATTGGAATTGGAGAACTTAGGGTGTCTGGGCCCCCAGGTTCTGGTGCCAGTGTCATGAAAACTTATGCTGTTAACCATAATAAAATGGCATTTGGCCAATACATTCTTGGGGTATACCTTTGTGCATTACTGGCTTTCATGACTGACCATTTGTGCCACCAGTGAACTGGAACCCTTGTGTGGGACCATTGGTTTTGGCACATCTGAGAGCTGTCCTACTCATATATACTTTGTGTGTGCAAGCTTCAATATTTTCCTGGGACCAGCAAGTTTTTCACTGATTTTCAAATGGGACACCAAAGGACACTGTGTGTGGTTTCCACTTCACAGGAACACAGCAGTTGGAGGGCAACCTATCTGCAGAAGATGGAACCTCGACTAACTAACTAACTAACTGTTATGTAAGGAGAAACAAACAAATGCGTGGTGAGTTCCTTGGTACAAATTGAATCAAGTAATCTACCTTCCCATGTGCGTACCTGGGTCCCATTGTAGGGGAAAACCAAAATAGACCCACTGTCTTCCCAGCAAATATGTCGTAGGAGTCTAACTGGGGACTTCCTTCAAAGTTGGTGTGCATCTGCCTGAGCAGCAAGAACAACAAACTGCATACAAATAAGTGAGAATTGACACAGACTGCAGTCTCAGCATATCCAGTAGCCTACTCATGCATTAAATACATAAGGCAGCCATCAGCTGTGCTAACACAAATGGTCCGACACCAAAAGGCAGCTCATCATGGATGGAAGTAACAGTTACAACAGATCAGTAATTCAACACATGATTAATCGCATAAGACAACCACCAGTTCTGTGGCAACAGGCCATTCACCATTTTCTGAATCTATAGTTCACAGCACAAACCATTTAGCTCATAGTGGACAAACATTCTAAATGAAATATGTAGCTTAGTGTGTTGTTACATGCACTCAACTCAGTAGCTGGGTGATGAAACTATATCCTTTAAATCTACACATGGAGGAAAATCCACCAGCCAACTATTGTCAGAAGCAAAAACTTCTAAAAACAATAGACTCCATAATGACCGGAAATCTCAAAATAAACAAATTAGTTAATCATTGTTGGTTGTTATTTCAGTTGCATGATGCTGTAGGTGAAGCAGAGGAGCAGAGAAGGCAGGTGCAAGTTGCCAAGAAGAAAACTCAGAGATTGACGGCAGAAATGCAAGACCTCAAACTACACCTCGAGGAGCAGATGTCACGCAATAATGAGCTGGAGAGAAAACAGAGGAGGTTGGTTTTCTTTCTTTTAGGTGGTTTAGCAGAGAATCAGAGCTGAGGGGGTCACAGCAGCCTTCTGCTGGCTTGAGAAACAGTTGAACACAAATCTCATGATAGGAGACATTATAACCAACCTCTCGTGGGAACAGTTCATTTAAAAAATACCTTGGAGTGGTTGCTGCAATGGAGGACTGAGCATGCATGGGAATGCCCAGAGAGCAGTGACGTCGATTGTGATAACATTTCATGATTGTATGTACCGACTCACAAAGCATGTTAAGAAAGGTGAAGACAAGCATGTTCCGTGCAGAGTGGCAAGCATCACTTCAGAAGTCCCGTGTAGTTAGCGTTCTTTAAGATATTTTCTGAACAGGCAGACAGACTGGCTGGTTCTGCACCGGTGGATCCTGCCAAGAGACTCTACACTCCGAGGAGAGGCAAGATCAAACTGCTGCTCGCAGCACTATTGGAGAATTGGATCTCTTTGCTGGCTGCTGAAGCTGAGGATGTAGCACATTTAGGAATGTCCTGAGTACTGTGATATCAGTTCTAAACTCACCCCTCAACAGAATCATTCAGAGCTGATGGATTTAGTCTGTTTCACTCAGTAAAAATGTCTTCGGTGTTCATCTGATATTTTGCATTGTGTCTTTGCATACTTTAAATTCCTAACATTATTTCAGTTCTATCATTTACCATCGAAAGATGAAGAACCACTAACATTATAACAGAAAAGACACTTTGAATACCGGTAGCTGTTATTACTAACGAGGAGCGGCTCACAGAACGATTAGAAAGCTTAGCTCTCGTGAGGGAGACCCCGGGTTTGAATACTTGGTAAGGCTGGAGATTTCTTCTGTCGGGGGCAAAATGAGATCCTCACCTGCACAGTCGTGGCGACAGCACTAGCCTTGCGGCCTTAAATCCTCAGGCTCAAAGACCCCTCGCCTTCACCGCAAAAGTGGTATATAAAGGCAGTAACTGGCAGTTTTAAGCAGTTATTACTATCTCCATGCTGTAGCGCAGTGGCTTTTAACCGTCCTTATGCCGCGACCCTTTAATACAGTTCCCTCTTGTTGTGGTGACCGTCTAAACAATTATTTTCCTTCATAACTTCAATGAATTTGTGTTTTCTGATGGTCTTAGGCCACCCCTGTGACAGGTTTGTTCAACCCAAAAATGGGTCATGGTGTGGCCAGTGTAGCTATGGGCACCGAGCATCCTCCAGAATAAGTGGACACCTCTAAAGTACCCTCTGCTGTTAACAAGAGTATCACAGAACAGGACGCTCACTTGTCAAAGGTTGTAAAGGCTGAGGACTTGGTCTAAGGCCGTGTGGATATAGAAAGCAAGGGGAAACTACCACATTATTATCCCAAGAAACTTATGAAAGCTGAAATTTAAAAAATATTTTTTTTAAATACTGACATCCTAAAATATCTTAACGTCAGGGAAGATAATAAACAGCATCTTGTCAGGGAAACTGAAATATTTTAGCCTTATCAAGCACCACGACACACTGGGAAAAATAATAGCACAAGCCATAGTGCCAGGAAGCAGGGGCTGACCAGCATTAAGGTGGGCACAGAATGTAAGTGACTGTGGATATGAAAGTTCAGGAGAGCTGGCGAGAGACCAAGCTTCTTTCAGGCTGACCGTAATGAGAGCAACATTCTGCAAAGAACCTACTACATGATAATGATGATGGTGATGTTATTACTGAACAATGTATAGTTGTATACTGTTGGCATTATAAATATGACTTTCGGTTGTTGCTACGGAAGTCTGTTGGTAGTTGTTACTGAAGTCTGTTGGTAGTTGTTACTGAAGTCTGTTGGTAGTTGTTACTGAAGTCTTTTGGTAGTTGTTACTGAAGTCTGTTGGTAGTTGTTACTGAAGTCTGTTGATAGTTGTTGCTGAAGTCTGTTGGTAGTTGTTACTGAAGTCTGTTGGTAGTTGTTGCTGAAGTCTGTTGATAGTTGTTACTGAAGTCTGTTGGTAGTTGTTACTGAAGTCTGTTGGTAGTTGTTGCTGAAGTCTGTTGGTAGTTGTTACTGAAGTCTGTTGGTAGTTGTTACTGAAGTCTGTTGGTAGTTGTTACTGAAGTCTGTTGGTATTTGTTATTGAAGTCTGTTAGGAGTTGTTACTGAAGTCTGTTGATAGATGTTACTGAAATCTGTTGGTAGTTGTTACTGAAGTCTGTTGGTAGTTGTTACTGAAGTCTGTTGGTAGTTGTTACTGTAGTCTGTTGGTAGTTGTTACTGAAATCTGTTGGTAGTTGTTACTGAAGTCTGTTGGTAGTTGTTACTGAAGTCTGTTGGTAGTTGTTACTGAAGTCTGTTGGTAGTTGTTGCTGAAATCTGTTGGTAGTTGTTACTGAAGTCTGTTGGTAGTTGTTACTGAAGTCTGTTGGTAGTTGTTACTGTAGTCTGTTGGTAGTTGTTACTGAAATCTGTTGGTAGTTGTTACTGAAGTCTGTTGGTAGTTGTTACTGAAGTCTGTTGGTAGTTATTACTGAAGTCTGTTGGTAGTTGTTACTGAAGTCTGTTGGTAGTTGTTACTGAAGTCTGTTGGTAGTTGTTACTGAAGTCTGTTGGTAGTTGTTACTGAAGTCTGTTGGTAGTTGTTACTGAAGTCTGTTGGTAGTTGTTACTGAAGTCTGTTGGTAGTTGTTACTGAAGTCTGTTGGTTGTTGTTACTGTAGTCTGTTGGTAGTTGTTACTGAAGTCTGTTGGTAGTTGTTACTGAAGTCTGTTGGTAGTTGTTACTGAAGTCTGTCCACTTGTATAGGTTTGACAGTGAACTCAGCGTGGCTCATGAGGATGCCAGGGAGGAGAAGGCCCTCAGAGAAAAACTCCAGAAAGAGAAGGATGAGCTTCTGTTAGAGAAATATTCCTTGGATCAGACCCTTCAGGTAGGCTGTACTTTCAGAAGATGTTCTAAAAGTAATCAGGTATTTACAGTTTCAGCTTCATAGTCAACCAGCGAAATCCACACAGAAATGTCCATCACTGTCTGTTGTGGACAAGAAATTGAGGTGCTTTATTAATATCCTACCCACAGATGACACCACAGGACAGTCCAACATTTTAGAGAGTGGTAAGACTGGGTTTCTCAGCTTTCTGATGCTTTTAACTACCCCAAAACATCTAGAACTGGCCTTAACCCACCTAGTCCCACAAAAGAGTGCAGCCTAGGTCCCACGACTGCATGCAGCCTATCTACCACCCCTTGAAATATGTTACTGTCCCGTGACCTGTGGATTTTCCCTGTTTGGGGTAGAATATTAATAAAGCACAAAATTGACACATTCTTCATTCTCAGCAAAGCCAATAGCATACACAAAGATTAAATGCATGAGACAGCCATTATAAGTGCCAGCACAAAAAGTCCGCTACTGGAAATGCAGATTATCATCAATGGAAGCTGTGATAGATCAATAGTTGCACATGCAGTTAATTGTATAAGGTGCCAACAGTTCTCTTGCAATAGGAAATCCACCATTTATATATCTGGTTTGCAAAAGTAAAAGAGAAGAAAAAGGTAACCTTCTTGTCTCATTCTGCATCTGGTTTATGGTAAGTAAAAAGTAAGTAAAGGAACTTTTTCCACACCTTTAGGTGTATTGGGCATATAGGGCTAGACCTTTATTTTCTGGACCAGTTGACATTCGGTGGGTGATGTGGTTAACATCACGCTGGCCGCCTTTACTTCTCAGGAAATGTACTTGCCCCCTTGGGGGTAGGGGGGTATCATCCTCATCATCATGTGCTATAATGAGCATAGGAGGCCATGATTAACCATCCTACACAATCATAAGAATCATGGATCAGGTCAGTGCTTTCGTCCCACCCTTTGTGTGTAGCTAAGTTATCAAGGTGCCTCTCACTCTCACTTTTTTTAAAATAATTAAATGCTGCTCCTCTTAAGTGCATGTCAGCAGTGGGGTGGCCATCTTTAAACTGTCATGACCTTACTGTGTTCGTCTGCACAGTGATTTCAACATTCTTGACACCTATAATAACAGTATTGACAGGTTAAAAGACAGTGGCATGCTTTTTGTAATTTCTGTCAGACTTATGAGGTTTTCATTTGAGGCCCTCCTCGTTGTTTTTTTTTTCTTTTTCTTGATGTTGTAACAACTGAATTCACTTTCAGTACACACAGATGGAACAGCAAAGCTCCACGGAGAAGTGTGCCAGGTTGGAGAAGGAGATTAATGACCTACTTCAAACGGGGAAAGACAACAGTGAGGTTAGTTTGCATGCCATCCTGTTCCTCATTCAAGCAGATACTTTTACTAATCAAGCTAATATATCTGTCAGGTAGAAAGCTCAGTGGAAGGAAAGGACAAATACCTCTCTGTCACTGCCTTAAAATCTTGCTCTGGTGATCAAACAGCTGTCTATTCCTAGATAAATAACTTTTTTTTTTTTGTGTAGGATAGTTTTATTTCAGCCTTTCTGAGGATTAAGTTTCAACATACATTCATCCAATATTTATTTCTGTTCCAATTATATTGTTTCCTTCCTTTTCCAGTTTTTTCTTGTAAATGTTGTTTCATAAAAAGTTTCCCCGTCTCTATTTTACTTTTCTACTATTTCCAGTACTCCCAAAATTGCCATATCTTTCTTTGCCCTGCAGCTGCTTTCTGCATACCTGCCCTTGTTGAATACTAATGTCTAACAGGTGATTTGTCGCTGACTGCTTTATCGCACCCTCCTTGAAATGCAGTACCTTCAGTATGTCTGCCCTGTCTATACTTTTACTCCACTAACTTCTGCAGACCCAGCTAGTCTGACTGCTCTTTCATTTCCTTTCACCCTGGCATATTCTGGTGTGTACAGCCAAGATAGTTTCTTGTGGACTTCTGGATGTTGTCTATTGCTTTCTGACCTGCCAGCCGGCTGCTATCTCCATTGTCATTTTAGACATGGTTGAACTAAATTTCTGACATTGCTCTTTTACTGTTTTCTTATTCACCTGTGCTTTGTTTGCGCACCCAGACGGCAGCCCATGAATCACTCAGCCATTTGTATAGATCAGTGGTTCCCAAACTTCATTGACAGAAGACAGGAGATTAGATGAAATAGCAAGAGCAAGAATGTGTGGGTGAGGAATTCAGTGTGGATGCGGCAAGGAGGCTCGGTTGAGAGGAAGAGAACCACATGTGTATGATCAGTGTGCTACTGGAGCAGTTAGCCTCTACACCTTAAGACCTTTGCTGTGGGAGACGGAGCATCTATGGGTATGCCTGGTGTGCTGTGATGTTGATTCTGAAATCAGTAGTCAGGACAGCATTCTAGTTGTTGTTTTTTTTAAATTTTTTTTTATAGAGGATATTTTTTTTGGAGCATGAACAAGGCTAGGAGAGATAATTTAGAGTCTGTGTACGTTACAGCTTTTTATGTAGTTAAAATGGACTATTGAGAGTCTGCACAGTTGAACGCAGGGCTGCTGCATCTCTACTCTAATATTGGTGCAAGCTTCCACGTCATTATTGAGCCAGTGTCTATGTTGCCATGTGTGTGTTATAATGTAGAATCACCACGTTCCTTTTGTCTGGCTTCTTTAGCAAAACTACCTCTGAACACACATGCCACAATATTTGAAGGATGCTGGTTCCTGAGTATATCAATCGAAAGAACTCTTTGTTCCGTCTCAGATGATTCTGTTTACAAATTATTCTTATTTTTCTCACTGTTTTGAAAATCAAGCACTTACTGCAACTTTGATCTGTTATACTTCATTGAAACCAATAGATCAGTTTATCTTTAAAAAATCTAAATTCTCTCCCCCCCCCCCTCTCTCTCTTTCTCTCTCTCTTCTCTCTCTCCTCTCTCTTTCTCTCTCTCCTCTCTCTCTCCTCTCTCTCTCTGTCTGTCTGTCTCCAGCTTTCCCCCCTCCTTTTTTTTTAAGCAATGACCCACAGCTGCACTTGAGGTGGCTATCGTTCCCTTGGACCTTCCCAATATCCCTCTTTGGGGGGTATAAGGTTATAGATGATAATGTCACCTTGTCAAGGATGCCCCATTGTGGAGACACACACTATTTAATTAATGTAGTATAATCTTAGAGAAGCGAGAGATCCAGGGTCGAATCCTTGGTAAGGTGACAGATTGTTTTCTTGTGGAGGAAAAAATAAAATTCCAGGCAGTTGTTTCAATATCACAGTATCATCTTACAATGTTTCCATCAGCTTGCTGTGGTGGTTTGTTGCTGTTGATCTCTTTCTGATGTGTCATCTTACAATGTTTCCATCAGCTTGCTGTGGTGGTTTGTTGCTGTTGATCTCTTTCTGATGTGTCATCTTACAATGTTTCCATCAGCTTGCTGTGGTGGTCTGTTGCTGTTGATCTCTTTCTGATGTGTCATCTTACAATGTTTCCATCAGCTTGCTGTGGTGGTTTGTTGCTGTTGATCTCTTTCTGATGTATCATCTTACAATGTTTCCATCAGCTTGCTGTGGTGGTTTGTTGCTGTTGATCTCTTTCTGATGTGTCATCTTACAATGTTTCCATCAGCTTGCTGTGGTGGTTTGTTGCTGTTGATCTCTTTCTGATGTGTCATCTTACAATGTTTCCATCAGCTTGCTGTGGTGGTTTGTTGCTGTTGATCTCTTTCTGATGTGTCATCTTGCAATGTTTCCATCAGCTTGCTGTGGTGGTCTGTTGCTGTTGATCTCTTTCTGATGTGTCATCTTACAATGTTTCCATCAGCTTGCTGTGGTGGTTTGTTGCTGTTGATCTCTTTCTGATGTGTCATCTTACAATGTTTCCATCAGCTTGCTGTGGTGGTCTGTTGCTGTTGATCTCTTTCTGATGTGTCATCTTACAATGTTTCCATCAGCTTGCTGTGGTGGTTTGTTGCTGTTGATCTCTTTCTGATGTATCATCTTACAATGTTTCCATCAGCTTGCTGTGGTGGTTTGTTGCTGTTGATCTCTTTCTGATGTGTCATCTTACAATGTTTCCATCAGCTTGCTGTGGTGGTCTGTTGCTGTTGATCTCTTTCTGATGTGTCATCTTACAATGTTTCCATCAGCTTGCTGTGGTGGTCTGTTGCTGTTGATCTCTTTCTGATGTGTCATCTTACAATGTTTCCATCAGCTTGCTGTGGTGGTTTGTTGCTGTTGATCTCTTTCTGATGTGTCATCTTACAATGTTTCCATCAGCTTGCTGTGGTGGTTTGTTGCTGTTGATCTCTTTCTGATGTGTCATCTTACAATGTTTCCATCAGCTTGCTGTGGTGGTTTGTTGCTGTTGATCTCTTTCTGATGTGTCATCTTACAATGTTTTCCATCAGCTTGCTGTGGTGGTTTGTTGCTGTTGATCTCTTTCTGATGTGTCATCTTACAATGTTTCCATCAGCTTGCTGTGGTGGTTTGTTGCTGTTGATCTCTTTCTGATGTGTCATCTTACAATGTTTCCATCAGCTTGCTGTGGTGGTTTGTTGCTGTTGATCTCTTTCTGATGTATCATCTTACAATGTTGCCATCAGCTTGCTGTGGTGGTCTGTTGCTGTTGATCTCTTTCTGATGTGTCATCTTGCAATGTTTCCATCAGCTTGCTGTGGTGGTTTGTTGCTGTTGATCTCTTTCTGATGTGTCATCTTACAATGTTTCCATCAGCTTGCTGTGGTGGTTTGTTGCTGTTGATCTCTTTCTGATGTATCATCTTACAATGTTTCCATCAGCTTGCTGTGGTGGTTTGTTGCTGTTGATCTCTTTCTGATGTATCATCTTACAATGTTTCCATCAGCTTGCTGTGGTGGTTTGTTGCTGTTGATCTCTTTCTGATGTGTCATCTTACAATGTTTCCATCAGCTTGCTGTGGTGGTTTGTTGCTGTTGATCTCTTTCTGATGTATCATCTTACAATGTTTCCATCAGCTTGCTGTGGTGGTTTGTTGCTGTTGATCTCTTTCTGATGTGTCATCTTACAATGTTTCCATCAGCTTGCTGTGGTGGTCTGTTGCTGTTGATCTAATTCTGATGTGTCATCTTGACAGTAAACCCTTACGTGTTGATATTTGCTTCCTTCCATAATATTGCTCCCCATGCCCGACAAGCTATACAGGGGTCTCTGTGATGAAGTCGCTGTTTGCCTCATGCTCAGGTCATAGGTTTGTTTCCTGGCCGGCTGGTTAATAAATGCAGTTTTTACAAAGATTCCTGGGGATCATTACCGGAGCTACAGAATGTGGGACTTTGTGTGACACTCTCAGCCTGTGGTTAACCATTTTGTTGTGAGAGGCTTGTCTGTAGAGGATAAAGCATAGTACAATGAACTCAGTCCTCTCACCTTTAACCTTTAACCTTTAAACAGGCCATTGCACTGAAGAGAAGCAAACATGAGCTGGAGATGAAGATTCAGGACCAAGAGGAGGAGCTGGATGACCAGGCTGGGCAGATACAACAGCTGGAACAGGTGATTGTTGTCTTGTATTATGTGTTATCCGTTAAGAACTAGCATCATAGCACTCGACACGTTACCATAACCGCTCTATCCTCATCTTCAGCAGCAGGCTCAGAACTCCAATTCTCATGGTACCAGTAACAGTCTGATTGTTTGTCGGGACTTTCCCATAAGGGCTTCATCCTCATCTTCAGCAGCAGGCTTAGAGTTCCAATGCTCATGGTACCATTAACCGTTTGGTTGTATGTCGGAACATTCTTCCCATAAGTGCTCCATCCTCACCTTCGCTAGCCATGGACCTTTAGTCGTACAGTGTGTGGGAGCTGCACTAGTCATGGACCTTAAATCATACAGTGCATGGCAGCTGTGCTATCCATTGACCTTCAGTCGTACAGTGCATGGCAGCTGTACTAGCCATGGACAATCAGTCGTACAGTGTGTGGCAGCTGCACTAGTCATGGACCTTCAATCATACAGTGTGTGGCAGCTGCACTAGTCATGGACCTTCAATCATACAGTGCATGGCAGCTGTGATATCCATTGACCTTTAGTCGTTCAGTGCGTGGCAGATGTACTAGCCATAGACCTTCAGTCGTACAGTGCATGGCAGCTGTGCTATCCATGGACCTTAAATCATACAGTGCATGGCAGCTGTTTTATCCATTGACCTTAAATCATACAGTGCGTGGCAGCTGTGCTATCCATTGACCTTAAATCATACAGTGCGTGGCAGCTGTACTAGCCATGGACCTTCAATCATACAGTGCGTGTCAGCTGCACTAGCCATGAGCCCTAACTCTTTCAGGCACGAACAACACTGTGTGTGTTAATTAACAAG